AAAATACAAAAAAAAAAATTAGCTGGGCATGGTGGCACATGCCTGTAATCCCAGCTACTCAGGAGGCTGAGGCAGGAGAATTGCCTGAGCCTGGGAGGCGGAGGTTGCGGTGAGCCGAGATCGCGCCATTGCACTCCAGTCTGGGTAACAAGAGCAAAACTCTGTCTCAAAAAAAAAAAAAAGGTAATTAATATGAATAGAGTCTGCAAATACATGTAACTTGAAGATTTAATCACCTTCTAAGAGTATAAGATGAATATTAAAGTTTTTTCCTATAAAAATCTATTTTAACCAGTAGCAACAATAGCTAACATATTATTACAATGTGACAAGCTCTGCTGTAAACCCATACATACATTTAATCCATATGAATATCCTGTGAAGCACACACAATTTTATCACCCCATATTAATGATGGACAAACTGAGGCTGCCACAGCTTCGGTGATCTGCTCAAAGTTACATAGCCTCTATGTGGCAGAGCCCAGGCTCAAGGCAGATGTAACTGACTCAAGCCCCTGCTTTTAAACGCTATCTTCAGTTAAAATTTAAACTCCCCTTTCTAAATTATGTCACTCTTTCCTCTCCATATGGGTTTCACCTATCTAGAAAGGAAGCCTTGAAATAAGTAAAGCTCTAATTTAAATAGCACCTCGGGAACTAAGTAAAGCAGAAAACCCCAGAACCTTTTCTCTAACTTACAAAACAAAATCTCCTGAAATGCCAACTCAATTATAAATTTTAAGATACCAATCTTTCAGACCACATCTCATCCTTCCCTTTCCTAAGCTCCATTGTAAAAATACATTTGGCAGGAAGAGGATCATTCCCAAAGCCTAAACTCCAAGTTTCTTAGATTGGCAACTATACTGTGCCTTGGGACTTTAAAATTATAAGCACAGTTCCCAGAGGAGACCATTTCCTTTATTAGCAATTGGCTTTGAAAATTCCATTCTCAGATGCTAAATATAACAAAATACCTTCTGACTTTTTTTTTTTTTTTTTTTTTTGCGATGGAGTCTCACTCTGTTGCTCAGGCTCTAGTGCAGTGGCATGATCTCGGCTCACTGCAATCTCTGCCTCCCGGGTTCAAGCAATTCTCCTGCCTCAGCCTCCCGAGTAGCTGGGACTACAGGCACGTGCCACCATGCCAGGCTAATTTTTTTTGTATTTTTAGCAGAGATGGGGTTTCTCTATGTTAGGATGGTCTCCATCTACTCACCTTGTGAACTACCCGCCTAGGCCTCTCAAAATTCTGGGATTACAGGTGTGAACCACCACAGCCAGCCTATGACTTTTTTTTTTTTTTTTTTTTTTGAGACGGAGTTTCGCTCTTGCTACCCAGGCTGGAGTGCAATGGCACGATCTCGGCTCACCGCAACCTCCGCCTCCTGGGTTCAGGCAATTTTCCTGCCTCAGCCTCCTGAGTAGCTGGGATTACAGGCACGCCCCACCATGCCCAGCTAATTTTTTGTATTTTTAATAGAGATAGGGTTTCACCATGTTGACCAGGATGGTCTCGATCTCTTGACCTTGTGATCTGCCCACCTCGGCCTCCCAAAGTGCTGGGATTACAGGCTTGAGCCACCGCGCCCGGTGCCTATGACTTTTATAAATAAACATTCTCCAGATTATTATTTTTTTTTTTTTGAGACGGAGTTTCGCTCTTGTTACCCAGGCTGGAGTGCAATGGCGCGATCTCGGCTCACCGCATCCTCCGCCTCCTGAGTTCAGGCAATTCTCCTGCCTCAGCCTCCTGAGGAGCTGGGATTACAGGCACGCGCCACCATGCCCAGCTAATTTTTGTATTTTTAGTAGAGACGGGGTTTCACCATGTTGACCAGGATGGTCTCGATCTCTTGACCTCATGATCCACCCGCCTCGGCCTCCCAAAGTGCTGGGATTACAGGCTTGAGCCACTGCGCCCGGCCCAGATTATTTTTGATACTAGTGATTATCCATTTACAAGAAAGTTTTGCCAGGGCAGTTAAGCAACTATAACATTTTGAAGAATCTTTCAAATTGATTCCAGAGCTTTTAAAATACTGACTTGAACATGGTTTACTGGATTCTTCTACTATGAAATAAAAAAAGTTCTCATTTCATAATGCATTTCCTTAAAAAGGCAACCCTGTTTTATTATTTCTAATTTCCCTGGGTTCTAACACAAGAATATTGGCAAAGCCAAAGGCATGGAAGTAGACTTTTCCCAAACTATGAAACAGAATAAATCAGGATTTTTTAAAAAACTTTACTATGGGCCAGCTGCAGTGGCTCACACCTGTAATCTCAGCACTTTGGGAGCCAAGGCGGGTGGATCACCTGAGGTCAGGAGTTGAAGATCAACCTGTACAACATGGTGAAACCCCATCTCTACTAAAAATACAAAATTAGCCGGGCGTGGTGGCAGGTGCCTGTAATCCCAGGTACTGAGGAGGCTGAGTCGGAGGTTGTAGTAAGCTGAGATTGCACCATTGTGCTCCAGTCTGGGCGACAAGAGCAAAAAACTCTGCCTCAAAAAAATAAAAATTAAAAAAAAAGGTTTACTATATACATTCAAAGACAAGTAATAGATTTCACAGTTTTTAAAACATGCCCTTATTAAAAGTCCCATGCATGACAATTCAGAAGTTCGGGATGATGGAGTGAGAGACTGATTGCCTTGTTCTGAGTAATGAGTATCAGAGTGCATAGCAGCTGTCTTTTAAGGAACAAGATGCAACAAGTGGACCTCATGACCCCAGGCATTATGTCTCTGTATAAGTGATATAAGTGCATCTTTAGCTGGACAGCTCCTCCTGTCCTCCCTCCAAAAGTATGGGATGTGAGAGTAAGACCAACAGGCACTTTATCTCTGGGGATGGATCCAAGGAGTCCAGAAAGAAGGGTAGAATCTTTATGTTCCATCTCATAACCCCATGGTTGGTTTTTTTTTTTTTTTTGGTTTTTTTTTTTTTTACATTCTAACTATTGTATACAGTTAGCTTTTCAAAAACATGGCCCACCAGCTCTCATGCCTTCTTTCTTCTCCCTCTTCTCGTACCTTCTAGATCCACAAAGTCCCAGTGACATCAAGTATGATCTCACCTTAAACAGAGCCTCCAAATATTTGCATAATCACTGATTAGCAGTAACAAGGTAAGTCAGAATTCTTTCAGGCTGAACCAGAAGAGCCCACTGAAAAATTAGAGACTTCAAAGTCTCTTGTCTCTGCAAGCGACTACTAAATCCTTAGCCCTAACCCTAAATTTTCTCCAAAACATGTTTTTGTTTTTGAGACGGAATTTCGCTCTTGTTACCCAGGCTGGAGTGCAATGGCGCGATCTCGGCTCACGGCAACTTCCTCCTCCTGGGTTCAGGCAATTCTCCTGCCTCAGCCTCCTGAGTAGCTGGAATTACAGGCGCGCGCCACCATGCCCAGCTAATTTTTTGTATTTTTAGTAGAGACGGGGTTTAACCATGTTGACCAGGATGGTCTCGATCTCTTGACCTCATGATCCACCCGCCTCGGCCTCCCAAAGTGCTGGGATTACAGGCTTGAGCCACTGCGCCCGGCTTTGTTTTTGTTTTTTTTAAGACAGGATCTCAAACTCCTGGGCTCAAGCGATCATCCTGCCTCGGCCTCCCTAGTAGCTAGGATTACAGGTGTGCAGCACTGTGCCTGGCCAAAATACATTTTCTAAAATTCAGAATGAACAGTTTTCTTTGGATGGTCCACTGTCAATTGCAATAACACGAAAGTTGTTTTAAAAAAAAAATCATTATCGTTCACCCAAAACATTCCTCCTAGTGTAACTGCTCTGTTGACATCCTGTCACCAAATCTTGTGCTTTCTTCCTTCTTGGTGTCTCCCTAATGTCCCTTTCTTCCAGTCATCAAAAAGTTAACAGGCTGCATTAGGAGAAGCCATGAGTCTGGTGTAAGGCAAGAGGGATTGGTGGGAACAGATGATCCTCAGCTCCAGCCAATCATTAATCAGGTGAGAAAGTGATGGTGGACCCTCCAATTATCTAAGACAGGCAAGAACTTAGATTATTAGGAGAAATTTTCTGATTTTTAAGGCAGCATGTGGGCCAAAGAAAACACCTACAGGTCACCCATGGGCAATCCCCAAGTGAACCGGTCTCCCTCATTCGGGTCCAAGCTCCCTCAATCCATTCTGCACATCACCGCCAGATCAGTTTTTCAAATACAGTACTCTGACCACTGCTATCTCGGAAAGCACAACTACAACTACAAAGTCCTACGCTGCCATTCAACGTCCACAGAAATACAAGTACTCCCTACCTTCCTCAACTCCCCTACACAGACCTTTCACTTCACCCAAAGGAATCTATTCCCACACCCGTCACCCCCAGCCGCTGTCCCCGCCAAGATGGCCTCCTTCCTACTCTCCTCCCCTACTTACCAGAGCCCACAGGGCAGAGGAAACAACCCATCAACTAGGAGGACCCCCCTCCAACACCTGCTGATGACGGGGTGGCTCACTACGTAACACACCTCTCTGCTCAAAGCTCGTGTCCAAGAAAGGATTTACATATCCCAGGAGGCAAATGCTATGGCCTTGTCCCGATTCCCCCACCCCCCAAAATAATAACATTGTAAAAGGGAACGGAGAGCCTAAGTCGTGGTCAGAGGAGCCGCCTGAGAAGGCTCTGCGCATCTTCACCTCCAGGAAGGCCTCAGGGAGGTGGGGGAGAGGGGGTTCCCGCAGTCAGCCCAGCGAGGCAGGAGGCCGTGCGCCACTCCAGGCGAGCTCCTTCCTGCGCCCCAGGGGAGCCACCCCAGTCAGACCCTGAGCCTGGACTCCGACCCCGCCAATCCCTGACAAGCGCGCCGCAAAGGCTAGGCACCCGAGGACCCATCGCGCTGCCCGGGCCCGGGGCCGCCGTCGGCCGCGACTCTGGATCACAGGACGAGAGGAGCCCCCTGCGCGCGTCCCCCGCGGGCCTCCTGGATGCGCCGCTGTCCCGGCCGCGCCCACCCCGAGATTGCCGCTACCTTGTCCTCGGGCGGCGCATCCGGCTCGTGGGCCACCCTCTGCCTCAGCTCGGTCATCCTGGAAAAACCTGCCCGACGTCGCCGCGAGCGAGCAGCGCAGTAGCCAGAGCTGGCAGCTCAGCGCGGGCACGCGCGGACTCCCTCGGCCGGCCCCGCCCCGCCCGAGAGGCGCGCGGCACCGAACGGCTCACAGTTCCCTTAGCAGCCGAGCAGCCAGCCCTGGAGCTCGGCCCCGCCCAGCGCCGTCACCGCCCTTTCACCCGGGCGAAGGAGGATCTGCCTTCCCTAGCCCGGGTCCTCGAACTCCCCCTCCCCGGAGGCGGGCTCGGAGCGAGTGCGCACACGCAGCGCCGCCATCACGGCCCGGAAGATCGACCAATGGCGCAAAAACGCCAGGGACAGGGCGACGGGGGCGGGGTGGAGCGGAGTTGAGAGGCTCGCATTGGACGGCAGCGTCAGGGGCGGGAATAGGCGTGCGATTCAGAGTCCGATTAGCCAATGGGAGCTCCTGCTTGAAAGCAGATGGCTGAAGCTGGCGCCCTGGTTCTGGAGGTAACTGGTTGCCGACGGGGAGAGGCGCCACCCGAAGGCTCTAGCCTGACAAATACTTGCTGACCTGGGCTCTGAGCTTGCAGCAGCTAAGGGCTCTTCCCTCACGCAAGTAAGTAGACGTTAGGCCGAATGGAGAGGATAGGTGAGCCGACCTGATTAAAAGCATTATCACTTATCACATGATGGGAAGTGGAACCCACACTTCAATCTGCGTTGCTTTGCCAAGCGGTCTCTAGCACTTGTTGAGCGCTAATTGTATACTAGGCACTGAGCTGAGTAATCGTTTTAGTTGGCTTATCTCATTTAATCCACACATGGCTTGGAAGTGAGTATGATTTTGCATTTTGCAGTTAAGATCTTCCTCAGTTATTTATTTATTTATTTATTGAGACAGAGTCTCGCTCTGTCGCCCACGATCTCAGCTCACTGCAGCCTCCTCCTCCCGGGTTCAAGCAATTCTGTCTCAGCCTCCCAAGTAGCCGGGACTACAGGCGCTCGCCACCACACCCGGCCAATTTTTGTATTTTTAGTAGAGACGGGGTTTCGCCATATCAGGCTGGTCTTGAACTGCTGATCTCGGGTGATCTGCCCGTCGTGGCCTCCCAAAGTGTTGAGATTACAGGCGTGAGCCACACTGCACCCAGCCCTTCCTCAGTTTTTCAAATTTGTCTTCTGGGCTATGGAAAGGCTCAAATAATTTTGAGCCAGCATGGCCAACATGGTGAAACCCCATCGCTACTAGAAACACAAAAATTAGCTGGCCGTGGTGGCGGGAGCCTGTAATCTCAGCTACTCAGATGGCTGAGGCGGGAGAATCACTTGAACCTGGGAGGCAGAGGTTGCAGTGAGCAGAGGTCACGCCACTTGCACTCCAGCCTAGGTGACAGAGCGAGATTCCATCTCAAAAAAAAAAAAAGACTTTGACGGCTGCTAAAATTACTGATGGAGGGGCCATCCTAAAGTAACTAAGAATTTCTGGAGGAGGGCCAAGTGGGATAGGCTTTTATAAAGCTCCCCAGGTGAGCCTAGAGTGCAGCCAGGATTGAGAATAATTCTGATACATATTACCTTATGAAGAAATTTGCCAGATACTACATAAAATAATTGACAGCATTTTCTCCCAGTATTCATTTTCTGACCAATACATTTTCACTGAAAAAAGTATAGAAAATACAGAAAATAAGGCCGGGCGCGATGGCTCAAGCCTGTAATCCCAGCACTTTGGGAGGCCGAGGCAGGTGGATCACGAGGTCAAGAGATCGAGACCATCCTGGTCAACATGGTGAAACCCCGTCTCTACTAAAAATACTTAAAAAAATTAGCTGGGCATGGTGGCGTGTGCCTGTAATCCCAGCTACTCAGGAGGCTGAGGCAGGAGAATTGCCTGAACCCAGGAGGCGGAGGTTGCGGTGAGCCGAGATCGCGCCATTGGCAACAAGAGCGAAACTCCGTCTCAAAAAAAAAAAAAAAAAATACAGAAAATATAAGAAAAAATAAAATTATTTGTGGCACCATCAGCCAAATAATTACTGTTAATATTTATATTCTTGCTTTTCCATTCCATTTACTGTACACATACACCCGGATATAAAAGTTTTACAAAATTGGAATACCTTTGTTTATTCTGCTTCATAACGTGATTTTTCTCTTTATTGTTAAATGCTCTTTGCAAATCGTACTTTAGAGGCCAAATAGTAGCGGGGATTACAGGTGTGTGCCACCACGCCCAGCTAATTTTTGTATTTTCAGTAGAGACAGGGATTCACCTTGTTGGTCAGGCTGGTCTGGAACTCCTGACCTCAAGTAATCTGCCCGCCTTGGCCTCCCAAAGTGCTGGGATTACAGGTGTGTGCCACTATGCCCAGCTGCTTTTATTCTTTTCTAATAGTTTAACCAATTATCTGATCAAAATTTACTTAATTGATTCTTTCTTCTACTGATTCAATAGTACGTTTACTAGATGTTAAAGTATCCTCTTAAAATGTAAATTGGGGGCTGGGCGCGGTGGCTCAAGCCTGTAATCCCAGCACTTTGGGAGGCCTAGGCCGGTGGATCAGGAGGTGGAGAAATCGAGACCATCCCGGTCAACATGGTGAAACCCCGTCTCTACTAAAAATACAAAAAATTAGCTGGGCATGGTGGCACGTACCTGTAGTTCCAGCTACTCAGGAGGCTGAGGCAGGAGAATTGCCTGAACCCAGGAGGCAGAGGTTGCGGTGAGCCGAGATCGTGCCATTGCACTCCAGCCTGGGTAACAAGAGCAAAACTCCGTCTCAAAAAAAAATGTAAATTGGATCATATAAAAGACCTGCTGTGGACAACATTCGCTTGCACTTTTAGAGAGCCTACAAAGTCCTGCAAGAGCCCACCCCAGCCTCTCTGCAACCTCACCTTGCACCACTCTCGCACTTAGTCTGAGTTCTACATCTAACTTGTCTGAATATATTCCAAGTATGTGGACCTTTATAATTATGCTATTCTCTCAGCCTAGAATGTTTTTCTTCCAACTCTCCAAACAGCTGTCTTCTCTGACAAGATGCTATCTCCTCAGAGAGGCCGCCTCTGACCACAGTGAGAGGCATGTTTATGTCCTCATTTCAGTTTAGCACGAGTTTAACACAACTGTACACCTCTTTGTCATTCGACATTTTTAGGAACAAATCACTTTTATAATAGCAAAAATAAATTCATGTAGGTCCCACATGGGTAGAATTTAATTGACATTTAAAATGTCTTCAAATCTAATCCAGTGATTTGGCATTAAACCAAAATGTTATTATGTAAGCAGACAGAACTGAAACAGAGTAGTGGAGCATATGCATTTGTTTTTAGTGAAGCAAATGTTCCTCACTGGGGGAATGAACACATTCCACATTTTGTGAAGGAACTGAGATTTTAAGGGACCCAAGAAAGGAAAATTCCCACAAACAGATGATGCTGTATTATGTTTTGATATTGAGATGCATGCAAATGGGTTGTCCATCACACATAAAGCAAGAAAGTGCCAACATCAAAACTTACAAATGGGTAGCAGAGGCCTGCAAGAAGTTCGAGAGACAATAGACTAGCACTATTGAAACACGCGGCATCATCAACACCCTTAACAACACAGGGTACATTAGTATACGGAAAAACGGCAGTGTCAGCAACTGAGTGGAGAAACAGTAGAAATGCCTTAACCAACGTAGCTTACATTTTTTCTTGTATGCACAAGAGTAATATAAGAAGAATTTTTTTAAAGTCTAAAAGTTCTTTTAAAACAAAATAGAAATTCTAAGTGATAAAGCATTGTATAGCAGTTTGAGGCTGGGCGCAGTGGCTCATGCCTGTAATCGCACACTTGGGGAGGCTGAGTGGGAAGATCACTTGAGCCCAGGTGTTGGAGACTACCGGAGTGACATAGTGGGACCTCCTCTCTACAAAAATATTTAAAAGGCCGGGCGCGGTGGCTCATGCCTTTAATCCCAGCACTTTGGGAGGCAGAGGCGGGTGGATCACAAGGTCAAGAGACAGAGACTATCCTGGCCAACATGGTTAAACCCCATCTCAACTAAAAATACAAAAATTAGCTGGGCGTGGTGGTGCATACCTGTAGTCCCAGATACTCGGGAGGCTGAGACAGGAGTGTCACCACTGCACTCCCGCCTGGTGACAGAGCAAGACTCCATCTAAAAAAAAAAAAAATTGTTAAACTTAGCCAGGTGCAGTGGTGCACATCTGTAGCCCTAGCTACTTGGGAGAATATGGCAGGAGGATACCTCTAGCCTAGAAGTTGGAGGTGTCAGTGAGCAGTGATCATGCCACTGCACTCCAGCCTGGGTGTCAAAGGGAAACCCCCTCTCTAAAAAATAATAAAAAATAATAGTTTGACAGTTTTCTTTCCTGTGCTACATAAAATAATGGAACGTATTACACTTGAAGGCATCTTATAATAGAACAACAACCCTTTTCTGTTCTCTTTTAAGGCTGACCCAGTGCTTTAAGAGGCTGACACAGAGGGTAAAGTTAAGTCTCCACAAAACCCAGGAAAGAGACTGTGAAACTCCTCTTAGAATCCTGTCTGAAGTCACAGCTGAACTAGGAAAAAAGAAAAAAAAAAAAAAAAGACATTCCAGAGATAAATAGACTAAGGAGAGGAGATATTTGAAGCCATAATGATTGAGAAAATGTCAGACTTGAAATGCATCTGCAGTTCCCTGAACAAGATAAATAAAACTAAGGCCAGGCACGGTGGCTCAAGCCTGTAATCCCAGCACTTTGGGAGGCCAAGGCGGGTGGATCACGAGGTCAAGAGATCGAGACCATCCTGGTCAACATGGTGAAACCCCGTCTCTACTAAAAATACAAAAAATTAGCTGGGCATAGTGGCACGTGCCTGTAATCCCAGCTACTCAGGAGGCTGAGGCAGGAGAATTGCCTGAACCCAGGAGGCGGAGGTTGCGGTGAGCCGAGATCATGCCATTGCACTCCAGCCTGGGTAACAAGAGCGAAACTCCGTCTCAAAAAAAAAAAAAAAAAAAGGATAAATAAAACTAAATCCATACATGGTAGAAAATCTAAGGAATTATACTGACCAAGATATTAAAAGCAACTAAAGAGAAAATGGTGTAAACAAAGCAAGAGAGAAACAACAAACCCTGTAACAATTCCTCTAACAATTGAAATTTTCTGGCTGGGTGCAATGGCTCACTCCTGTAATCCTAGCACTTTGAGAGACGGAGGTGGGTGGATCACCTGAGGTCCGGTGTTCGAGACCAGTCTGGCCAACATGGTGAAACCCTGTTCTACTAAAAATACAAAAATTCTCTGGGTGTTGTGGTGGGTGCCTGTAATCCCAGCTACTGGGAAGGCTGAGGCAGAATTGCCTGAACCGGGGAGGCAGAGGTTGTAGGGAGCCAAGAGCGTGCCACTGCACTCCAGCCTGGGCGACAGAGGTAGACTCCATCTCAAAAAAAAAAAAAATGAAATTTTTACACATATGAGCAATGATTTAAAAACGAGATTGCTGATATCTAGTTTGGAAAATAAAGAGAAATGAGCATATTCATACACAATCTTGGCTAGAATGTAAATTGCAAACTTTTGGAGATTAATTTAGTAATATTTATAAAAAATTTAGTCACATGCGGTGGCTCACGCCTGTAATCCCAGCACTTTGGGAGGCTGAAGCGGGTGGATCACCTGAGGTTGACAGTTCGAGACCAGCCTGGCCAACATGGTGAAACCCCGTCTCTACGAAAAAAAAATACAAAAATTAGCCGGGCCTAGTGGCAGGTGCCTGTAATCCCAGCTACTCAGGAGGCTAAGACAGGAGAGTCACTGGAACCCGGTAGGCAGAGTTTACAGTTTGCTGAGATGGCACGACTGTACTCCAGCCTGAGTGACAGAGCAGAGCTCCATCTAAAAAAAAAGCAAAAAAAAAAAAAAAAAAAAAACCCAAAATTAAATGTATACGCTCTTTGACTCAGCCATATTACTTCAAGGAGTTGATGACACTAAAATTACCTAAGTACTCAAAGGTGTTTGTAATTAACAACAGGAGCTTGATCAGTTAGGTTACACACATGTGATGCTATCTTTTAAAGAGGTACTGATACAGAAAAATGTGGCATAAAATTAAACACTCTTTCGAAGTGTTTACGGAATGAACGCATTTTGAAAAAGATGTGTATTCATATTTTTAAAAAAGCTTTAAAAGCTTTATACAGTGAACGATTGATTCTAAGAGCTGATGGGGGAATGTTGATAGAGAGCTAAGGTTAACTAACAGCCCACCTGTCTATGAGGTGACACTTAGGAACGCATCTATTCTGTAACTGAACAAGAGCATATTTGCAGCAGCTGTACTCTTCAGGCTGCAAGGAGGTTTTTCCTCCCGGAAGGCATGACTTGCATTTCACTTTCACTTTCGTGGCTGGAAACTTTCTGCCCACGAAGTGGGAGGCTGAGGAAGCACCACAAAGCTGGGGCTTGACGAACCGCGGCCTGGGCCTGATCCCCGCAGACGCCCGAGCTCGTCCAGCGGCCAGCTTCAGGAGTCAGGCAAAGAGGCGGGGAGACCTGCGGTACGCTGCCTCGCCCTGCGCCTGCATCCTCCAATGCATGTCCTAGGAGCGCGGGCCTCGAGGGGAGCAGGTACACGATTGGCCCTAAGGTGTCCACGCGCAGGCCGTGGGCGTGGCGACGTGGTGACGTCAAAACGCGGCGCAGGGTGAGAGCGCGCGCTTGCGGACGGGCCGGCATTAAACGGTTGCAGGCGTAGGGGAGCGGTCGCCGTCTTTCTAGGGCTCAGCCTCCCGTCACGACGTTTGCCCGCTCGCTCTGAGGCTCCTGAAGCCGAGACTAGACTTTGCTTCTTCCCGCCTGTCTGTAGCCGCGTTGGTGCCACTCCGCTACCATGTTCGAGGCGCGCCTGGTCCAGGGCTCCATCCTGAAGAAGGTGTTGGAGGCACTCAAGGACCTCATCAACGAGGCCTGCTGGGATATCAGCTCGAGCGGCGTAAACCTGCAGAGCATGGACTCGTCCCACGTCTCCTTGGTGCAGCTCACGCTGCGGTCTGAGGGCTTCGACACGTACCGCTGCGACCGCAACCTGGCCATGGGCGTGAACCTCACCAGGTGAGCCGGGCAGCGCCCAGAGCCGACTCCGGCCCACCCCTATCTCTGGCGCTTGGCGGGAGCGCTTCCGAGCCGAGCCCTCATTGGTTGGCGTGGGCCATCCGCGCCTTCTTATTGGCTTGCCACGCAGGGGGAGGGTGGGGTCCCGCCGAGCGCGCGGTTCCGAAAAGCCCGCGCTGGCTGCTGCAGCGCGAACCTGCTTTTTCGCGCCAAAGTCACAAAGCGAGTGGTGGCGGGAAAATGACTGGTTTTTCTGCGGTGCCAGGAACACTGCTCCAGGGCTCTGGCTCCTTATATTCCGATGGCCTTGAATGGACGCTTTAGTTGTGGCTGACTTCTTTTTCGACACGGGGTCGCGGTGTGTTGCCCAAGCTGATCTCCGACTTCGGGGCTCAGGCGATCCACCCGGCTCAGTCGCGGTTGACTTTGAATGGTTTATAATGTGCTCTTGCGAGAATGTGTTAGCCTGTCATCCTACTTGGTGACAGGAGATTGTTTCTATCCAGAAGGGAAACTGCTGGTGGCGTTTTAGTATAAATACTGCCAGATGCATCCCAAAATGTCTGCATTAATATTCACATCCTCCGGCAGTACGTTTACTCTCCACCAGTTCTGAGATGGCCTGATGGGTGAGAGTGGTAACCCCTTCTAACTGCATTAGAAATACAGACCTTTAGCAGATGGTGTTGATTTTTTATTTATTTATTTATTTTTTTTGAGACGGAGTTTCGCTCTTGTTACCCAGGCTGGAGTGCAATGGCGCGATCTCGGCTCACCGCAACCTCCGCCTCCTGGGTTCAGGCAATTCTCCTGCCTCAGCCTCCTGAGTAGCTGGGATTACAGGCACGAGCCACCATGCCCAGTTAATTTTTTGCGTTTTTAGTAGAGACGGGGTTTCACCATGTTGACCAGGATGGTCTCGATCTCTTGACGTCGTGATCCACCCGCCTCGGCCTCCCAAAGTGCTGGGATTACAGGCTTGAGCCACCGCGCCCGACCGATGGTATTGATTTTAAACCATGTGTCTCCTGTCTTCTAGTATGTCCAAAATACTAAAATGCGCTGGCAATGAAGATATCATTACACTAAGGGCTGAAGATAATGCGGATACCTTGGCGCTAGTATTTGAAGCACCAAGTAAGTCATACCTTTTTACTGAGTTGTGAAGCTACAGAAAATCAGAACGCTGTATTAGTATTTCACAACAGCATTTGCTTTCTTTTGGTAGACCAGGAGAAGGTTTCAGACTATGAAATGAAGTTGATGGATTTGGATGTTGAACAACTTGGAATTCCAGTGAGTATCAACTTCTGATTGTAGAGAGTACTGTACACAGGCATGATAGTTATGTAATAGAATGTGGGATAAAATTTTTGTGAGTCCGTCCGTCCCCCTCCCTCCACACAGGGTCTTGCTCTGTTGCCCAGGCTGGAGTTTAGTGGAGCCTTATAGCTCACTGTAACCTGGGACTCCTGGGCTCAAGCAACCCTCCTGCCTCAGTCTGTAAGTGACCAGGAAGGACTACAGGCCTGTCCCACCACGCCTGGCTAATTTTTTTATTTTTGTGTCTGAGTGGGGACGGTCTTGCCCAGGCTGGTCTGGAACTCCTGGCCTCAAGCAATCCTCCCCACTCAAGATATGTTAATATAATTTAAGCCTACTTCATAAAACTTTTCTAGAAACGTGTCTACTGGTGCATGTTTCAAAGACAGGTTTTTAGTATTTGAATAGTTATTGTTTACCACAAGCTTAAAACTGGTTGTATTTATTGTTTACTGCCAGTTGTCTATTTGCATTAACTTCCATGAACCTCTTTTAAAAATTTTTTCCTTCTAGAATGTTTGGTTTTTATTAAGTGTATTTTAAAGATATCTTAGAAGAAATTTATCCAGGTTAGGTTTATAAACAGCAAAGGAGAAAAGAAATGTTGAAATGTTGAAAATGCCTAATGTCATATTCTTAGGTTTTTTTAGAAAGTAGTTAGGCCTGCTTGCACCATCATCATTTCTGTGGCATACGCTAATGTCCTCTTGCTTTATCCCTGGAGGATGATTAGGAGGAGGCTCTTGTTCCCTGGATAGAGCATTTAATCTCCATTTATTTTTTTGAGTGGTTGGAGGTTGTTAAGAAATTATCTGAGCCATATTTTAAAAGTAATCAGAAAATCTTGATTCTGAATTGTTTAGATGTTATCTCTTAAAGAGTGCCTAATCATTAAGTTTCCAACAATTAACTTTTGGAAAAATTGTTCTTAATAGGAACAAGAGTATAGCTGTGTAGTAAAGATGCCTTCTGGTGAATTTGCGCGTATATGCCGAGATCTCAGCCATATTGGAGATGCTGTTGTAATTTCCTGTGCAAAAGACGGAGTGAAATTTTCTGCAAGTGGAGAACTTGGAAATGGAAACATTAAACTGTCACAGACAAGTAATGTCGATAAAGAGGAGGAAGCCGTAAGTAGTTTTTAAGTAAAAAGAAAATAGTTTGAAGAGAATTGTTTTCTTTTTTTCACATTGCTACAAAGACGTACCCAAGGTTGAAGAGAGTTTTAATACTACTTAACATTTGGTTAATTGCTAAAATGAAAAGTGGATAGAATTGTACCTTAAGTAATTTGTGAAAATTGGGATACTGTTGAAATCTGCAATTGATTTGTAAGTGCCATCCAAATTCAGCACATGTACATACCATGGAACAGTAGTTTATGGATCAAGCCCACACAGGCTCTTAAGGATAGGATTGGGAAGCTAGCTGTCTAACCTTTAGGTCTCTGGAGATACTTACTCTATTAATCAAATAATTGAGCATAGGTCAGCAACTCAATAGAAGGATATGGTTAGGAGTAAAAGACCTGTTATGAGTTCTTATGTAATCCTCATGTTAGCTTACATGTTGTGGGTCCAATTGGTAGCCCATTCTTCTTCTTTTTTTTTTTTTTTTTTTTTTTTTTTTTTTGAGGCGTAGTTTCGCTCTTGTTACCCAGGCTGGAGTGCAATGGCATGATCTCGGCTCACCGCAACCTCCGCCTCCTGGGTTCAGGCAATTCTCCTGCCTCAGCCTCCTGAGTAGCTCGGATTACAGGCATGCGCCACCATGCCCAGCTACTTTTTTTGTATTTTTAGTAGAGACAGGGTTTCACCATGTTGACCAGGATGGTTTCGATCTCTTGACCTCGTGATCCACCTGCCTCGGCCTCCCAAAGTGCTGGGATTACAGGCTTGAGCCACCGCGCCCAGCCTGGTAGCCCATTCTAAAGGTAGAGAAGCAGGCTGAGCAACCTTAAGTGGCAATTTAGCCAAAGTCACAGGCTGTAGGAATCAAAGGTTAAACAGGAGGGAAACCTCACTAAAGCTAGAAAGCAGACTCCATGCAACATTGAGAATGCCTAGAGAGCCCTTATTTAACCAAAATAGAATACGTGGCAAAACCCTTTCTCTACTAAATACACAAAAATTAGCTGGGCATGGTGGCACACACCTGTAATCCCAGCTACTTGGGAGGCTGAGACAGGAGGATGACTTGAACCCAGGAGGCAGAGGTTGCAGTAAGCTGAGATTGTGCCACTCCTCTGCAGCCTGAGCATAAATCAGAACTTCGTAAATCAAGGACAAAGGTCCTAACCTCGTAGGATTGTTAGTATTAAATAGCATATGCTGTGTCTGACACATTATAAGCTTACAATAAATGCTAGACGTTGCTTTTTTTTTTTTGGAGACGGAGTTTCGCTCTTGTTACCCAGGCTGGAGTGCAATGGCGCGATCTCGGCTCACCGCAACCTCCGCCTCCTGGGTTCAGGCAATTCTCCTGCCTCAGCCTCCTGAGTAGCTGGGATTACAGGCACGCGCCACCATGCCCAGCTAATTTTTTGTATTTTTAGTAGAGACGGGGTTTCACCATGTTGACCAGGACAGTCTCGATCTATTGACCTTGTGATCCACCCACCTCGGCCTCCCAAAGTGCTGGGATTACAGGCTTGAGCCACCGCGCCTGGCCTAGACGTTGCTTTCTTATCCCTTGAATGAATAGTCCACCTTTAGATTAAATAAAAGAAATTCAATTGAAAAGGTTTTTTTTTTTTTTAAATTTATGAAGTCCAGGAGCTGATTCTGTTTCCTGAATCACATGCCAATCTCATAGGGTTTTGTTTTTTTTTTCCCTGTTTTTCTTTGTTTTTGAGACAAGGTCTTGCTCTGTCCACCAAGGCTGGAGTGCAGTGGTGCAGTCTCCAAGGCTTAAGTAATCCTGCTGCCTCAGTTTCCCAAGCAGCTGGGACTACAGATGTGTGCCACCACACCTAGCTTAGTTCCCTCTAATTTCATTTTGTCTCTTCCATTACAATCTATTAAAGAAATTAGATCGTTCGTTAGGTTTTCCAGAGTTTGGATTTTGCTGATTGCATCCCTGTGTATACATAAATTCTTCTATCCTGTATATCCTACAAACTGGTAGCTACAGCCCTGGAACCTTGATAATATTCAGGATGTTTTGTTTTGCAGGTGGGAGAGCAAGAATACTTTATAGTTGGTAGTGTGTCATTCTAGTAGGAGGCACAGGGTGTCTGGGTGTCTTTGCAATGTTTGTTAGCAGCTATACTAATCATTGTCTAGATACATTAAGTCATTAATTAGCATTTCCAGAGCTGAAATTAATGTGTCATTAATTTATTGGCTGCTCATTATAAAATTTTCTATAAAGAAAAGCTTTCCCATATCACATAATTAGCTTATCTGAATTAATTGATAATAGGAAAAACAAGCTAAATACTCGATTCTTTTGCTTTATGTATCAGTCTTCAAAATTTTCATAGCTCCTTCCAAAGTGTCCAATGAAAGTCTTTGTATGTTTTTTCTTTTAATATATAATGAACTAATAGATTGCAACTTTCTTGCTGTTTTTAATGATGAATCTTGTTTTCTCTTGTAGGTTACCATAGAGATGAATGAACCAGTTCAATTAACTTTTGCACTGAGGTACCTGAACTTCTTCACAAAAGCCACTCCACTCTCTTCAACAGTGACACTCAGTATGTCTGCAGATGTACCCCTTGGTAAGATAATAAATTTGGACCTAATTTTGTAGGTAATATATGTGATACTCGTCAGTAATTAACTATCTTCTTGTCTTTCAGTTGTAGAGTATAAAATTGCTGATATGGGACACTTAAAGTACTACTTGGCTCCCAAGATCGAGGATGAAGAAGGATCTTAAGCATTCTTAAAATTCAAGAAAATAAAACTAAGCTCTTTGAGAACTGCTTCTGAGATGCCAGCATATACTGAAGTCTTTTCTATCACCAAATTTGTACCTCTAAGTACATATGTAGATATTGTTATCTGTAAATAACCTATTTTTTTCTCTATTCTCTGCAGTTTGTTTAAAGATCTCTGCAAAGTCAGATCCAGTCTAATTAGCCTAGAAGTATTTTTGTCTCTTAAAAATACTTGTGATTTTTATAATACAAAAGGGTCTTGACTCTAAATGCAGTTTTAAGAATTGGTTTTGAATTTAAATAAAGCTTGAATTTCAGACATCATGGGGCAGTGCCTTCATTTGGACCAGGACTGTTGGAAGTATCCTGAATTGCCAGCTACAGCTACCCTTTCGTGTGAATGTTTTTTCAGCTTAGAGCAACCTGTGAAGATAAAAAGTATTTCAAATACAGTAGGTTACTAGATATTTTAGAGGATTCACTTGTCAAACTTGTTTTTTTTCTTTTTTTTTTTTTTTTTTTGAGACGGAGTTTCGCTCTTGTTACCCAGGCTGGAGTGCAATGGCGCGATCTCGGCTCACCGCAACCTCCGCCTCCTGGGTTCAGGCAATTCTCCTGTCTCAGCCTCCTGAGTAGCTGGGATTACAGGCACGCGCCACCATGCCCAGCTAATTTTTTTGTATTTTTAGTACAGACGGGGTTTCACCATGTTGACCGGGATGGTATCGATCTCTTGACCTCGTGATCCACCCGCCTCGGCCTCCCAAAGTGCTGGGATTACAGGCTTGAGCCACCGCGCCCGGCTTTTTTTTTTTTTTTTTTTTTTTTTTGAGACGGAGTTTCGCTCTTGTTACCCAGGCTGGAGTGCAATGGCACCATCTCGGCTCACCGCAACCTCCGCCTCCTGGGTTCAGGCAATTCTCCTGCCTCAGCCTCCCGAGCAGCTGGGATTACAGGCACACGCCACCATGCCCAGCTGATTTTTTGTATTTTTAGTAGAGACAGGGTTTCACCATGTCGACCAGGATGGTCTCGAACTCTCGACCTCGTGATCCACCCGCCTCGGCCTCCCAAAGTGCTGGGATTACAGGCTTGAGCCACCGTGCCCGGCTTGTCAAACTTGTTATTCCAATTTGAGCTCAAGTAACAAACGAGAGAGAACAAATCCTGTGTATTTCATCATTTTAGCTGGCAAAAATTAATATTCTTCAGAAGCTTAATGTACTCAAAATCATGTGGGCTTTATGATAATGCAGTGTTTATATTTTAGCTAAGGGAATCCTACAAGAATCTTAGATGTTTCAGTAGCTCTGTAATGGAGCCTAAGGAGTATGGTTATGCAAAATTCCTCTAAGTACATTCTTTGCAGGTAGCTCTCCTCAAAGGGTGAAGATGTCTTTGTGTGTGTGAGAGACAGTCTTTTTTTTTTCTCAATTCTAGACCAGGACCACCAGAAGTGAGACACAGCCTTGCTTTGTCACCCAGGCCGAAGTGCATTGGCACAATCTCGGCTCACTGCAACATCCACCTCCTGGGTTCAAGTGATTCTTCTGCCTGTGCCTTCTGAGTAGCTGGGATTACAAGTGTGTGCTACCACGCCTGGCTAATTTTTTGTATTTTTTTTTTCTTTTTTTTTTTTTGAGAGTTTCGCTCTTGTTACCCAGGCTGGAGTGCAATGGCGCAATCTCGGCTCACCGCAACCTCCGCCTCCGGGTTCGGGCAATTCTCCTGCCTCAGCCTCCTTAGTACCTGGGATTACAGGCATGTGCCACCATGCCCAGCTAATGTTTTGTATTTTTAGTAGAGACGGGGTTTCACCATGTTGACCAGGATGGTCTCGATCTCTCGACCTCGTGATCCACTCGCCTCGGCCTCCCAAAGTGCTGGGATTACAGGCTTGAGCCACCGCGCCCGGCCTCAAAAAAAACTTTTAAAAATTTGCTTTATCGTGATCCTTTTCTCCGGTGCATTTTGTGTTTGGTACATTAAATGACTTCTTTTTTTTTTTTTTTTTTTGGAGACAGAGTTTGGCTCTTGTTACCCAGGATGGATTGCAATGGCATCATCTCGGCTCGCCGCAACCTCCACCTCCTGGGTTAACGCAATTCTCTTGCCTCAGCGTCCTGAGTAGCTGGGATTACAGGCACCCACCACCATGCCCAGCTAATTTTTTGTATTTTTAGTAGAGACGGGGTTTCACCATGTTGACCAGGATGGTCTCGATCTCTTGACCTCATGATCCACCCGCCTCGGCCTCCCAAAGTGCTGGGATTACAGGCTTGAGCCACCGTGTCCGGCCAAATGACTAATGTTTTATCTTATATTTTTTTGAACACTGCTTTTGAGAATTTGGTCCCAAGTTTAAATGACTGGTTTCTTTTTTACATTACTTGGACTGAGTTCTAGTTACTGGACCTGAGAATTAACCATGTCCAGTAGTTAAATATTCATTTACTTATAGTATGACTGTGAGTGGAGAAGGAAATAGGTTTCAAAAGTGTACGATGAACCTTTGGTATGATTAATATATTTTCATCTAGATTGGTTCCAGGACAGTGTGCATTTTCAGAGTTCATCTATTTGTACTTGTGTATAAATTATACCTTAATAAACAACTTTTTTTTTTTTTTTTGAGAGTTTCACTCGTTACCCAGGTTGGAGAGTAATGGTGTAATCTTAGCCTACTGCAACCTCTGCCTCCCAGGTTCAAGCGATACTCCTGCCTCAGCCTTCTGAGTAGCTGGGGTTACAGGCATGCGCCACCATACCCGGCTAATTTTGCATTTTCAGTAGAGGCGGGGTTTCTCCATGTTGATCAGGCTGGTCTGGAACTCCCGACCTCAGGTGATCTGCCCGCCTCGGCCTCCCAAAGTATTGGGATTACAGGCGTGAGCCACCGCAACCGGCCTAAACCTAACTTTTCAAAAACCTTCATGTGCAGCAAAATGTCCCTTGTGGGCAGGTCTTTTACCTGGGCAAGTCCTGAAGACAAGCGCAAATTTGTGGAGTTATTCAAGGGAAGTGCAGTGAGGTGCTGACAGCAGAGATAAGAGGGTTATTCAAGCGAAGTGTGATAGTGGAGTGTTGACAGCGCGTGCCCGTGGAAGGCTTGCGCCTCGCAGCGGATTAAGATCTGACGGCTCTGACTACTAGTCCTGAGCCTCCGTGGGAAGCCACGGCGCTCTCTAACCCGACCTCTGTACTAAAGTGAGAAGAGAAACCACGTAGCCGGCTAGCCCTGGGCCTGATTCGGACCCAGGTGGGTAGGGACCCTACGTGCTCGCCCGCCCTAGCGAAGGTAACCGGCAGCGGGCAGAGGACGCGGCTGCTCAAACAAAACCCACGGAGCAACAACACTCGGTCCCTATCGCCGCGGAGCCCGGATGCTGAGTGACTAGACAAACGCTCCGGAAGACGCAACTTCCGGCGCGCCTGTTTCCGGCACGCCACTTCCGGCGCACTGATCTCGCCCGGGGCAGGCTGGGTAGCATTTAGGCGGGCCGAGCCATGCGACCTCTGGTGCTGCCAACCGTGGACCAGCTCTGGGCGTGCGGGCAGCCTGGCGCGGCGCTCCGGTAAGGCGTCCGTGCGTGCGGCGGGGCGGGGACAGAAGCGTCCTCTTGGGCTCTGGGCGTGACCAAGACCGCGTTCCCCGCCGAAATCAAGCTCCGAGTCGTCCCTGTGGGGCATTCGGTCGCCCAGGGACGGTTGGCCTCTTTCCAGAAGCCAGTTTTGTTTGTTTTATGTGTAAATTCGCACCGGTTCTTATTTCTCTCCCTGGCAAGGTCTGAAGACGGGCAGAAGAATAACGTATGTAAAGGCGCGTAATGCCAGACACCGTGCCAAACGTTTTATGATGCTTTTAGAACTTAATATTCAGGTGCTAAGGGAGTTCAAGGGTTGCGGTGAGCTGATAAAAAACCTGTTGGGAACGAGGACTGATACTTTGAAAATGCTTGTTTTTACTTTTTGCCTCTTTTAGAATCCTCTTTGCCAAGAATAAACATTCGTCTCGCCGCTCCCTCGCGGCCCCGGCGATGTATTGTTTTTTGCGGATATATGTATAGTTAATGTCAGAGGGCGTACTTTTTTAAAAAGCCTAAATGCGAGTTACATGTGGCTAAATTCCCTCAAAAACTACGCATATTGGTAGTTTGAACTTTGTTTTATAGAATTAAATGCAGTCGGGATCACAACACTAAAACCCTAGTGACGCAGTTTGATCCAATCGTTTTTGAAAAGTATAGAAATTAGCATTACGCTAATTTTTTCAATACTGGATTTCTAGACCAGGATGTAATCAATAAAAAGGGACAAGAGGGGCCGTACTCGGTGGCTCACGCCTGTAATCCCAGCACTTCGGGAGGCCGAGGCGGGTGAATCCGTCGGGAGTTTGAGACCAGCCTGACCAACATGGAGAAACCCTGTCTTTACTAAGAATACAAAATTAGCTGGGCATAATGACACATGTCTGTAATCCCAGCTGCTACTCGGGAGGCTGAGGCAGGAGAACCGCTTGAAACTGGGAGGTGGGGGTTGCGGTGAGCCAAGATTGCGCCACTGCACTCCAGCCTAGGCAACAGAGCGAAACTCCGTCTCAAAAAAAAAAAAAGGCATGAATATTTAGCACCAATTCTTTTTTTTTTTTTTTTTTGAGACGGAGTTTCACTCTTGTTACCCAGGCTGGAGTGCAATGGTGCGATCTCAGCTCACCGCAACCTCCGCCTCCTGGGTTCAAGCAATTCTCCTGCCTCAGCCTCCTGAGAAGCTGGGATTACAGGCACGTGCCACCATGCCCAGCTAATTTTTTGTATTTTTAGTAGAGACGGGGTTTCACCACGTTGACCAGGATGGTCTCGATCTCTCGACCTTGTGATCCACCCACCTCGGCCTCCCAAAGTGCTGGGATTACAGGCTTGAGCCACCGCGCCCGGCCTAGCACCAGTTCTTTAATTATGCTAGTTATTTTACATTGACTGAAAGCCACTTAAAACAGTTTGTTAATTTTTGGAATTAAGTATGTATAAAGTACTTAGAACAGCTGGCACCTAAAAAAAAGACTAAGTACTAACCACGATTATTGTGATGATGATAAATTTACAAAATGCATTCCAAGAGAAAAACTAGTCTTTATGTTGCCCTTATTGAAATATTTTTCTCTTTTTTAAAGATATGTTTTTGAATTTAGAATTTAAATAACTTTATAATAAATGCCGAAAATATATTTGCCCATTTTGATTATATAGTTTTGTTACTTTATGGAGGAAAAGTGGACAAATTAAAAAAATTTTTTTTTTTTTTAAACAGAGTCTCATTCTGTCACCCAGCCTGGAGTGCAGTGGTGCAACCTGGGCTCATTGCAGCTTCTGCCTCTCAGGCTCAAGGGATTCTCGTGCCTGAGCCTTCCAAATAGCTGGGATTACAGGTGTGTGCCACTGCGCCCAGCTAATTTTTGTATTTTTAGTAGAGACGGGGTTTCACCATGTTGACCAGGCTGGTCTCAAACTCTTGACCTCAGGTAACCCACCCACCTCAGCCTCCCAAAGTTTTGAGATTACAGGCCTGAGTCCACACACCCAGCCTACAAATACAAATTGTTTCAATTTAAATGTTTTTATTTTTCAAACTTATCCACTGTCTCTTAAACTGGTGGCAAAATAGCCATGATTTCACTACCACTCTCTGCTTTGAATATTTTGAACAAGAAACCAGGTTTTTATTCCTTTTGTTGTTGTTGTTCTTTATTTAAAATTTATTGTGAGATAAATATTGTATAGTGTTCTGTTTCTTAAGGTAGGTACAGAAGTAATTAGGAAAATGAAATCACTACTTTCAGTGCTTGGGATAGGACAGAGAGGCAGACACTTCTGGAGGCACTAGTATAGTACTGATAGCCAGGGCCTTATCCAGATTTACAAGGGGCCTTGTGCAGTGGCCTGTAATCCCAGCAGTTTGGGAGGCCAAGGCAGGGAGTCACTTGAGGTTAAGAGTTCAAGGCCTGGCACAGTGGCTCATGCCTGTAATTCCAATACTTTGGGAGGCCGAGGTGGGCAGACCACTTGAGGTCAGGATTTCAAGGCAGCCTGGCCAACATGGTGAAACCCTGTCTCTACTAAAAATAAAAAAAATTAGCCAGGTGTGGTGGTGCACACCTTGTAATCCCATCTACTCAGGAGGCTGAGGCAGGAGAATAGCTTGAACCCAGGAGGTGGAGGCTGCAGTAAGCAGAGATCACTCCATCACAAAGGAAAAAAAAAAGACTTCTTTTTTTTTTTTTGAGGTGGAGTTTTGCTCTCGTTACCCAGGCTGGAATGCAGTGGCGCGATCTCGGCTCACCGCAACCTCTGCCTCCTGGGTTCAGGCAGTTCTCCTGCCTCAGCCTCCTGAGTAGCTGGGATTACAGGCACGTGCCACCATGCCCAGCTAATTTTTTGTATTTTTAGTAGAGACAGGGTTTCACCATGTTGACCAGGATGGTCTCGATCTCTTGACCTCGTGATCCACCCGCCTCGGCCTCCCAAAGTGCTGGGATTACAGGCGTGAGCCACCGCGCCCGGCCAAAAAGACTTCTAGACCAGCCTGGCCACCATGGTGAAACTCAGTCTCTACTTTAAAAAATACAAAAACGAGCCGGGAGTAGTGGAATGCGCCTGTAGTCCCAGCTACTGAAAGGCTGAGACAGGAGAATTGCTTGAACCTGAGAGGTGGAGGTTGCAGTGAGCCAGCATCGTGCCACTGCACTCCAGCCTGAGACTCCATCTCAAAAAATAAAAATAAAGCAGGAGCAGGCGACAGTTAACACTGTGGTGTCAGTTGGTCCTGGATTTAAGTCCCCACTCTTCCTCCTAGTTTCTATGTGACTTTGGAAAAAGTAAGAGTCGGGGAATCTTGGTGGCAAAATAAACTGGAATGTGATTCTTTTTTTTTTTTTTTTTTTTTTTTTTTTTGAGACGGAGTTTCGCTCTTGTTACCCAGGCTGGAGTGCAATGGCGCGATCTCAGCTCACCGCAACCTCCGCCTCCTGGGTTCAGGCAATTCTCCTGCCTCAGCCTCCTGAGTAGCTGGGATTACAGACACGCACCACCATGTCCAGCTAATTTTTTGTATTTTTAGTAGAGACGGGGTTTCACCATGTTGACCAGGATGGTCTCGATCTCTTGACCTTGTGATCCACCCGCCTTGGCCTCCCAAAGTGCTGGGATTACAGGCTTGAGCCACCGCGCCCGGCCTGGAATGTGATTCTTGATGAGTGTCTTCACTCATTCTACAAGGACAGACCAGAGTGGATATTTAATACATACTGAGAATGTCTTCACTGTGTCACAGGCATATTTGGTTTTCCATATGCATATGCTTCTGACACAATGAAAATTAGCAGTGAAGCATAAATTGCCCATTGCTAGTCTGACATGGCAGCCCAGAACTCCAATGCACAGCTCTAATAATCCTGAACTCACTGGCTGTAATGCACCATTGTCTCCTACAGACAAGTAACAGGGTTTTTTTTTTGTTTGTTTGTTTGTTTGTTTTTTCCCATACTGTAGCTGTGTCAGCGTGTTATGATGCCGTCCCGTACCAACTTGGCTACTGGAATCCCCAGTAGTAAAGTGAAATATTCAAGGCTCTCCAGCACAGACGATGGCTACATTGACCTTCAGGTAAATGCAGAAGAGAACTGACAAGACTGGCTGGCCGTGTTTCTGTTGAGTTAGCAGGAAGACCTCCCAGAGGGGGGTTTCCATAACTGTACCTGGGGATTAGAGGGAGCAACAAGAAGAAAACTCAGCTCTGAGACTCTTTCAGCCATAATTGCAGAAGGGGGCCTTGACAGGGCAGTTTCAAGCCAATTCCAATATTGTGCATTTCTAAGAATTTTTAGTTGTAATGCCAGAGTCTTGTAATTACAAGTTTTATTTACTTTAATCAGAAACTAATCAGATTGTGTTTTGAAGAGTGGAGTCGTGTTTTTTTTTAAGGAATTGTAAAAATTTTTGTTAGGTGGAATTTTTTTTTTAATCACTGTTTATTTACACTTTAGTCAAAGCCAATTCATCTTTTCAGGGTGTTTTTTTTAAACAAAAACAGAGGGCGGGCGCGGTGGCTCAAGCCTGTAATCCCAGCACTTTGGGAGGCCGAGGTGGGTGGATCACGAGGTCAAGAGATCGAGACCATCCTGGTCAACATGGTGAAACCCCCGTCTCTCTAAAAATACAAAAAAATTAGCTGGGCGTGGTGGCACGTGCCTGTAGTCCCAGCTACTCAGGAGGCTGAGGCAGGAGAATTGCCTGAACCCAGGAGGCGGAGGTTGCGCTGAGCCGAGATCGCGCCATTGCACTCCAGCCTGGGTAACAAGAGCGAAACTCCGTCTCAAAAAAAAAACAAAACAAAAACAGAAATGTCTTTATGAAGTTGCTTATGATACAATTAATGATTTATGGAATGAGATTAGAACTAAAGACTGAGACTCCTTTGAGTAACCGTGAGAGCAATAACTAGAGCTTCATCATCTCTTGCCATTCCCTTTTATTTCTCAGAGCTGCACTGGGTGGTAGGACATACTTAAGACACGTAAAGCATCTAGTTTGGTTCTTAATTACCCTCCCATTTTTGTTGTTGTTGCTTTTGTAACAGGCTCTGGCTCTATCACCCAGGCTGAGTGCAGTGGTGTACTCTTGGCTTGCTGCATCTTCACCTCCTGGGCTCAAGCAGTCCTCCCACCTCAGCCTCCCAAGTAGCTGGGACTGCAGGTGCATGCAACCATGCCTGGCTAATTTTTGTATTTTTTGTAGAGATGAGGTTTCACCGTGTTGCCCAAGCTGGTCTCAAACTCCTAAGCTGAAGTGATCCACCTGCCTCAGCCTCCCAAATTGCTGGGATTACTGGCATGAGCCCTCCTCCCTGTTTTAAAGTGTTTGAGGCTGGGTTTGATGGCTCACACCTGTAATCTCAGCACTTTGAGAAGCAGAGGTGGGAGGATTCCCTTGAGCCCAAGAGTTCAAGACCACCCTGGGCAACATAGTGAGACCCTTAAAAAAAAAAACAACTTAAAAATTAGCTGGGCATGATGGCGTACGCCAGTAGTCCCAGCTACTTGGGAGGCTCAGACAAGAGAATTGCTTGAGTCCAGGAGTTTGAGGCTGCATTGAGCTGTAATCGCATCACTGCACTCCAGCCTGGGTGACAGAGCAAGATTCTATCTCTAAAAACATAAAAATTAAAAATAAATAAATAAAATGTTTGAACCCTGGTATTTGTCTAATGTTCTTCCTTGTCTTTTTCATCTCTGTTTCTCTTCCAGTTTAAGAAAAGCCCTCCAAAGATCCCTTATAAGGCCATTGCACTTGCCACTGTTCTGTTTTTGATTGGCGCCTTTCTCATTATTATAGGCTCCCTTCTGCTCTCAGGCTACATCAGCAAAGGGGTAAGCTGACGGGCATGTGGGAATAAGCTGTGAGAGCCATAGCTAGTCAAGGTGTGCGCACGTGTGTGTGTGTGTGTGTGTGTGTGTCTCTGTGTGTCTCTGTGTGTGTACGTCCATCCCAGTAGTCTATTTTTCTGAGACAAGGTTTTGCTCTGTCATGCAAGCTAGAGTGCAATGGCACAACCTTTACCTCCCTGGGCTCAAGTGATTCTCCCACCTCAGCCTCCCAAGTTGCTGGGACTACAGGTGTGCACCATCACACCCAGCTAATTTGATATATTTTTTACTTGTTTTTGTTCATTTTATTGTTTTGTAGAGACAGGGTTTCACTGTATTGCTCAGGCTGATCTCTTAACTCCTGAGCTGAAGCAGTCTGCCTGCCTCAGCATCCCAAAGTTCTGGGATTGCAGGTGTGAACCACTGCACCTGGCTAACTTTTATTTCAATTTTTACAGGTACATGGTGTATATACTTACGGGATACGTGAGGTATTTTAATACGGTCATGCATTCATAATAATTACATCAGACTAAATCGGGTATCCATCACCTCAAGCATTCATCATTTGTGTTACGTTCCAATTATACTTTATTTATTTTTAAGACAGAGTTGTTCTGTTGTCCAGGCTGTAGTACAGTGCCATGATATCGACTCACTGCAACCTCTGCCTCCCAGGTTCAAGCTGCTGTCATGCCTTAGCCTCCTGAGTAGCTGGAATTACAGATGTATGACACCAAGCCCGATTAAATTGGTATTTTTAGTGTAGTTTTGCCATGTTGACCAGGCTGGTCTCAGACTCCTGAACTCCTAAAGCATTCGGATTACAGGCAGGAACCACTGTGCCTACTTGTAGTTATTATATGTATATACATTGTTGTTTTGGAGGAGTCTCATTCTGTCACCAGGCTGGAGTGCAGTGGTATGATCTCAGCTAGCTGCAAACGCCACCTCCTGGGTTCAAGTGATTCTCCTGCCTCAGCCTCCTGAGTAGCCAGGACTACAGTCTCAAGCTACCATGCCTGGCTAATTTTTGTATTTTTAGTAGAGGTGGGGTTTTACTATGTTGGCCACATTGGTCAGTAACTCCTGACCTCAGGTGATCTGCCCTCTTCAGCCTCCCAAAGTGCTGGGATTACAGGTGTGAGCCACCATTCCCAGTTTTAGTTATTATATTTTTATAAGATACAATAAATCATTCTCTAGTCACCTTGTGCTATCAAATACTAGCGCTTACTCATTCTATGTAACTATATTTTTGTACCCATGGACCGTCCCCATTTCCCCCCTCTCCACCTTTCCCAGTCTTTAGTAACCATCATTCTACAGTCTTCATGAGTTCAATTGTTGTAGTTTTTAATTCCCACAAATGAGTGAGAACATGCAAAGTTCGTCTTTCTGTGCCTGGTTTATTTCACTTAACATAATGTTCTCCAGTTTGATCCATGTTGCAAGTGACAGGATCTTTCTTTTTTGTGTACTATTCAGTACTCCATTGTGTATGTGTACCACATTTTCTTTATCCATTTGTCTGTTGTAGAACACTTTGGTTGCTTCCAAATCTTGGCTGTTGTGAATAGTGCTGCCATAAATATGGAAGTGCAGATAATCTTGACAGACTGATTTCCTTTCTTTTGGGTATATACCGAGCTGTGAGATTGCTGGATCATATGGTAGTTCTATTTCATACTGTTCTCCATAGTGGCTATACTGATATACATTCCCATCAACATTGTACGAGGGTTCCCTTTTCTCTACATCCTCACTAGCATTTCTTATTGCCTGTTTTTTGGATAAGCCATTTTGGCTGGGTACAGTAGCTCACACCTATAATCCCAGCACTTTTGCAGGCCAGGGCCAGAGGATCACTTGAGCCCAGGAGTTCAAGACCAGCCTGGGCAGCATAGTGAAACCTCGTGTCTATATTTTTAAAAAGCCATTTTAACTGGGATGAGATGATACCTCATTGTAGTTTTGATTTATATTTCTTTGATCAGTGATATTAGGCACCTTTTGGTATACCTGTTTGCCATTTGTATGTCTTATTTTGCGAAATGCCCAATTTTGATTGGATTATTAAATGTTTTTCCTACAGAGTTTGAGCTCCTTGTATATTCTGGTTATTAATCTCTTGTCAGATGGATACTTTGCATATATTTTTTCCCATTCTGTGGGTTGTCTCTTCACTTTGTTGATTGTTCCTTTGCCGTACAGAAGCTCTTTAACTTGATGTGATCTCATTTATCTTTTTTACTTTGTTTGCCTGTGCTTTTGGGGGCATTACTCAAGAAATCTTTGCCAAGTCCAACATCCTGGAGAGTTTTAGGTCTTAGGAGAGTTTTAGAGCTTCATAGTTTTAGATCTTAGGTTTAAGTGTTTAATCCATTTTCATTTGATTTTTTGTGTATGGCAAGAGATTTCAGGGGTCTAGTTTCATTCTTCTACATATGGATATCCAGTTTTCCTAATACCATTTATTGAAAAGATTGTTCTTGACCGGGCACAGTGGCTCACACCTGTAATCCCAGCACTTTGGGAGGCCGAAGTGGGTGGATCACCTGAGGTCAGGAGTTCAAGACCAGTCTGACCAACATGGTGAAACTCCATCTCTACTTAAAAAATACAAAATTAAGGCTGGGCATGGTGGCTCATGCTTGTAATCCTAGCACTTTTGGAGGCCGAGGTGGGTGGATCACCTGAGGTCAGGAGTTCAAAACCAGCCTGGCCATCATGGTGAAACCCCATCTTTAAAAAAAAAAAATTAGGCCGGGTGCGGTGGCTCAAGCCTGTAATCCCAGCACTTTGGGAGGCCGAGGCGGGTGGATCACGAGGTCGAGAGATCGAGACCATCCTGGTCAACACGGTGAAACCCCGTCTCTACTAAAAATACAGAATATTAGCTGGGCATGTTGGCGCGTGCCTGTAATCCCAGCTACTCAGGAGGCCGAGGCAGGAGAATTGCCTGAACCCAGGAAGCGGAGGTTGCGGTGAGCCGAGATCACGCCATTGCACTCCAGCCTGGGTAACAAGAGCGAAACTCCATCTCAAAAAAAAAAAAAAAAAAAAAAATTAGCTGGATGTAGTGGTGGGCATCTGTAATCACAGCTACTCGGGAGGCTGAGGCAGGAGAATTGCCTGAACCCAGAAGGCAGAGGTTGCAGTGAGCTGAGATGATGCCATTGCTCTCCAGCCTGGGCAGCAAGAGTGAAACTCCATCTTAAAACAAAAAGACTGGTTCTTTCCCCAGCATATTTTTTGTTTTTGTTTTTGAGAGAGTCTCACTCTGTCATCCAGGCTGGAGTGCAGCAGCATCGTCTCAGCACACTGCAACCTCAGCCTCCCAACTAACTGGGACCACAGGTATGCGCCATCACACTTGGTTAATTTTTTTTCATTTTTTGTAGAGACAAAGTTTTGCCATATTGCCCAGGCTGATCTTGAACGTCAGACTCAAGCAATCCAGGAATACAGTGGTGTGATCACAGCTCTCTGCAACCTCGATCTCCCAGGCTCAATCCATCCTCCAACCTCAGCTTCCCAAGTAGCTGGGGTTACAGGTGTGAGTCACCATACCCAGCTAATTTTTTTGTTTGTTTGGCAGAGATGAGGTCTCATTGTGTTGCCCAAGCTAGTCTTGAACTCCTGGGCTCAAGCAGTCCTCCTGCCTCAGCCTCCCAAAGTACTGAAATTACAGGCTTGAGCCACTGCACCCCACTGGCTGTGTTCCCCATTGTGTGTTAATTACAGTCAGTGCAAGGTCCACTCTAGCCTCCCAAAGTACTGGGATTATAGGTGTGAGCCACTGTACGTAGTGGATGTAGAATTTAATCAAATGCTTTTCTAGGATTGATTGAAATAATCATAAACATACGGTTTTCTTCCTTCATTTTGCTGATACAGTTATATCACATTGATTAATTTGTGTAAGGTGAGCCATCCTTGCATCCCTGAGATAAATCCCACTCGGTCCTGATGAACAGCCTGTTTAATGTGTTGTTGAATTCTGTTTGCTAGTATTATCCTCCTTATTCAGGATTTTTGCATCAGTGTTTATCAGGGATATTGGCCTATAGTTTTCTTTTTTCTATGTGTCTTTGCCTGGTTTTGGTATCAGGGTAAAACTGGCCTTATAGAATGAGTTTGGAAGTATTCTCTCCTTGTCTGTTTCAGAATAGTTTCAGTAGGATTAGTATTTGTTATTTTTCTTTTTTTTTTTTTTTTTTTTGAGACAGGGTCTCACTTTGTCACCCAGGCAGAGTGCAATGGTATGATCTCAGCTTACTGCAACCTTTGCCTCTCCAGGCTTGCATGATCCTGCCACCTCAGCCTTGCTTATAGCAACTGGGACTACATGCGCATACTACCATGCCCATCTAATTTTTGTATTTTTTGTCAAGATGGGGTTTCACCATGTTGTCCAGACTGATCTCGAAATCCTGAGTGATCTGCCTGCCTTGGCCTCCCAACGTGCTGGGATTACAGGAGTGAGCCACCATGCCTGGCCAAATATTAATTCTTTAACTGTTTGGTATAATTCAGCAGTGAAACCATCAAGTCTCAGGCTTCTCTTTTTTTTTTTCTTTATTTTATTTTATTTTTCTTGCCCATCACTTCACAATTTTATGAGTCCCAGGCTTCTCTTTGCTAGGAGACTTTTTATTAGGGTTTCAATCTCATTACTCACTGTTCAGGTTTTAGTTTTCTTCATGGTTCAATCTTTATTTTTATATTCATGTCTGTACAGCAGATTTCAGCAGAAAGAACAAAAAGATTTTCTTTTATATTTTGTTCTCTGTTGGCAAAACATGTTTTTCTTTCTTTGAGCAATAGTAAATTTCCATAATTCCAGTAAGGGAGGTAGTGGCAGGTAGGCACACTTGGCCTCTGAAATATTAGACAGTTTGCCCACTGTCAGAGTTTGGAACAACACAGCTGAGCCTGGCATACAGGGGTCCTAATTGCTAAAGGGTGTGGCTGGAGCAGCATGCTGTCATTGTAGCTGTGCAGTGCCATGAACATACGGGTCAGTGTTTGGAGAGAAATAGTGATTCTATTATATGCATGGGGTCACAGTGCCTCATAAGTCAGTTCCTTCTTACATTAAGTTTGGTTTGAGTTGCTGTTGAGCTTCTTTTCCTTTTTTTTTTTTTTAATCATTCTTAACATTCTTGGAGTATACCTGTTGAGCTTCAATATGAACTCTTAGTAACCTAAAGTAGTTGGTGGTTCTTTCTCATGGGCTGTCCCCACGTACACAGTGTATAAGTTGTCTTGACCGATTCTGGCCATAATTAACACACAACAGGGAACACAGCCAGCCAGGTGCAGTGGCTCAAGCCTATAATTCTAGCACTTTGAGAGGCTGAGGCAGGATGATTGCTTGAGCCTAGGATTTTAAGACCAGCTTAAGCAACATAGTGAGACCTCATCTTTACCAAACAAACAAAATTAGCTGGGTATGGTGACTCACACCTGTAACCCCAGCTACTTGGAGGCTGAGGTGGGAGGATCACTTGACCCTGGGAAGTAGAGGTTGCAGTGAGCTGTAATCACGCCACTGTACTCCAGCCTGAGCAATAGAGCAAGACACTGTCTAAAAATAAAAAAGGAAAAGAAAAACCTGAAAGGCTAAGAAAAACACAGAAGTTTATTGTAATAGCATCTATACAATTACAAAAGGTGAAAAGCCACCAAAGTGTCCAGCAGCTGTGTGTGGGGCAGTTAAGTAAAACTGTGTACATTGATTTCAGTGGAGTGTTACATACCCTTACCGTTTAAATATCTGAAGAGGTTTTAATAATATTGGCCACAGGACACAGTGTGTTTACAACTAAGAACTTTTAAAAAAAGGAAAAGAAGCCGGGCGCGGTGGCTCAAGCCTGTAATCCCAGCACTTTGGGAGGCCGAGGCGGGTGGATCACGAGGTCAAGAGATCGAGACCATCCTGGTCAACATGGTGAAACCCCGTCTGTACTAAAAATACAGAAAACTAGCTGGGCATGGTGGCTCGTGCCTGTAATCCCAGCTACTTAGGAGGCTGAGGCAGGAGAATTGCCTGAGCTCAGGAGGCGGAGGTTGCGGTGAGCCGAGATCGCGCCATTGCACTCCAGCCTGGGTAACAAGAGCGAAACTCCGTCTCAAAAAAAAAAAAGGAAAAGAAGCCCAAATATCTAGTTGAGATTGGGTCATTCTTTATAATTGTTAGTACTTTGTAGTTTTCCTTCAATTTCTAATAAGGAGGAAACCTTTTCCCTTGGTAGTGTACAACTCAAATAAAATGTACTGAAAAGTATAAAATGCTGATCTAAAGATTAGGTCTGTGACTTTTTATTTTAAAATGTGCAACTCTTAGAGTACTAATGTGTTTGCCTCTTTCTGCCACCAGGGGGCAGACCGGGCCGTTCCAGTCCTGATCATTGGCATTCTGGTGTTCCTACCTGGATTTTATCACCTGCGCATCGCTTACTATGCATCCAAAGGCTACCGCGGTTACTCCTATGATGACATTCCAGACTTCGATGACTAGCACGCACCTCATATCTGAGGAGAAGAGTCACAGTGGGACTGCCCCAGCTTTAAGATACTGAGCAGAAGCTCTTGATAAGGGCTAAAGAATTCTGCATCTTGCAGATGTTTAAGTAAACAATGGCCAGATTTTATGGGTTCTTCCCAAAGATGTTAACTGAGCCTACAGTTAGCTAGTTAGGACATGACCTGCTCTGTTTCTCATCCCTTGGCCCTGGTAAGAGCTCCTGACAAGTTTTTCCACAGGAATATGAATCATGGAAGAATAGAGGTTATTCTGTAGTAGAAAGTGTTGCCTGCCACCACCCTCTGTAGAGCTGAGCATTTCTTTTAATAGTCTTCATTGCCAATTTGTTCTTGTAGCAAATGGAAGAATGTAGTATGCCTAATTTCTTACTACTAAGTAATTTATTTTAAAAACAGCTGAATATCTTGGCTGGGCGCAGTAGCTCATGCCTGTAATCCCAGCACTTTGGGAGGCCAAGATGGGCGGATCATGAGGTCGGAAGTTTGAGACCATCCTGACCAACATGGTGAAACCCCATCTCTATTAAAAATACAAAAAAATTAGCTGGGCATGGTGGCGTGCACCTGTAATCCCAGCTACTCAGGAGGGTGAGGCAGGAGAATTGTTTGAACCCAGGAGGTGGAGGTTGCAGTCAGCTGAGATCACACCACTGCACTCCATCCTGGGCAGCAGAGCAAGACTCCATCTCAAAAAAAGAAAAAAGTTGGAGTGTCTTATCCTCTACACTTAACCCTAACTTCATGTTCCAGTGGAAGACCTTGGTAAAAATCAAAGATCAGTGAGTTCATCTGTAATATTTTTTTTTTTACTTGCTTTATTATTGACAGTAGCCAGGAATGTTTTAGCCTGCACAGCAAGTTTTCAAAATGTAAATACTTTCTCTGTTTAACAGTCCTTGGCCCATTCTGATCCAGTTCACCAGTGGGTTGGACAGCATATAATTGGGGTCATTTTGTCTGTTCTAAATCAAGATGTTCTGTAGATTATTCCTTTAAGGGCAGGACTTTTGGCTGTTCCTAATGAAACCTGTAGGTAAGTGTTTATTAGTTAGAGTTTATATCCTTGTTGCTAGGACCTTGCATTATGTCATTCTGCTCATGATTGCAAGGCTCAGCCTGGATGCCTGGAGCACTGGATTGCCTTCGTTTGATTCTATTTTTTAGCTTGCAAAAAATGACTTATATTCCAAAGAAATTAAAATGTTGAAATCCAAGTCCTAGAGTTAAAATGCGTTAACTTTAAACATTTCAGAAAACACTTCAGTGATTTTATGATATCTTTAATCCCAGTACCCAGATCTACCTTAGTTTCTAGGTAGCTGGCATTGTGAGTTACATTACTTTCCCCAACCCTGAGGTTATGGACTTGGGCAACTAACTAGAAGCCTGGCCATGCCATCAGCTGAGATGGATGGCTGTGGGAAGAGCAAGTTTTAGATGTCTGCTCAATATCCAAATGGAGCTGTTGGGGAGGCAGTTACAATGCATGAGTATGTCTAGAGTTTAGAGTGGGTCTTATGGAAATAGAAATTTAGGAGTCAGTATTTGGACAGTATCTTAAAAACCAGAGGGCTATTTGAGATCACCAGTGGACTGAGTGTACGTGGAGGAAGAAAAAAGGACCCAGGAAATGAGGGACAAAGAGAGGGTGACCTGAAGCAGCCTCCAAGATTAGGCACTTTTAGTAATGGGAATGTTTGCTGGGGAGTTCAATAGTGAGTTTCTAAGCCTTGACAGTGAATTGTGAGGTGATGCATAAAGCTTTATCTTGGGGAGTGGTTGCCAAGCAAAGCTCAGATCAGAAGGTTTTGGCCAAACCAAATGATTTGGATTGATGGATTAGTTGATTGATTTTTGGAGACAGGGTCTTGCTGTACTGCCCAGGCTGGAGTGCAGTGGCACAATCATGGCTCACTGCAGCCTTAACTCCTAGGCTCAAGTGATCCTCCCACCTTGGCCTCCCAAAGTGTTGGGATTACGGTCATGAGCTACTGAGCCTGGCCTGTTTGGTCTTTTTTTTAAAAGTTGATGCTGCTCCGGGCGCGGTGGCTCAAGCCTGTAATCCCAGCACTTTGGGAGGCCGAGGCGGGTGGATCACAAGGTCAAGAGATCGAGACCATCCTGGTCAACATGGTGAAACCCCGTCTCTACTAAAAATACAAAAAAATTAGCTGGGCATGGTGGCGCGTGCCTGTAATCCCAGCTACTCAGGAGGCTGCGGCAGGAGAATTGCCTGAACCTAGGAGGCGGAGGTTGTGGTAAGCCGAGATCGAGCCATTGCACTCCAGCCTGGGTAACAAGAGCGAAACTCCATCTCAAAAAAAAAAAAAAAAAAAAAAAGTTGATGCTGCTGGTCAGAAGAGTATAAAGTGAAAAGTAAACATATGGGCATGGGGTACAAAGTGTACATTTACTCCAGCTTACTTTCAAGGTTTTCCAAATAAATTTTTTTTGTTTTGTTTTTTTTAAGATGGAGTCTCACTTTGTCACCGGGCCTGCAGTGTAGTGGCTCGCTCTCAGCTCACTGCAGCCTCTGCCTCCTGGGTTCAAGCTAATCTCCTTCCTCAGCCTCCCAAGTAGCTGGGACCACAGGCAGGCACCGCCACCCCCAGCTAATTTTTGTATTTTTAGTAGAGACGGGGTTTCACCATGTTGGCCAGGATGGTCTCTATCTCTTGACCTCATGATCCACCTGCCTTGGCCTCAAAGTTCTGGGATTACAGGCGTGCTGTGCCCAGCCCCAAATAAATTTCTTAATATACCCTTTCTGAAATGTTCTAAGCACATAAATACATGTCTGATTTTTAAAACTTAGGCTCACATTTTGTGGTTCTATAATTTCTCCCCTCCCCCACTGATTGTATTTTATGTATCTTTGCATATCCATGGAGATCAGTCATATTCTCATTGATGTACCTTATAAGTGTAGTTTTTCATCCTTTTTATTTAGTAGTCATAGTGTCAGAGCAGAAACCAACCAACTTCCTACATGGAATAGGAATCTCCTCTCCAGAGTACCCTGAGGAATGGCCTTTGCTGCTCTATTTGAACATTCACACTTGTAATCTCATTCCAGCTGGAATTGTTATAGAAGTATCATTTATTAAGCCAAAATCAGACTGTAATTTCTATGCTTTGGCCATAGTTGTATTTGGTGTTTTAGAGAAAAGACCTAAACCTCTACACCCATACTACCCTGACTGCTCCCGACCTCATCTGATCTTGGAGGCTAAGTAGGGTCGGGCCTGGTTAATACTTGGACAGGAGAAAAGATCTAAACCTATGTAATAATGTTGAACATTTCTTGACCCCTTTGCCAGGTATTCTGCAAGTGCTTTTATTACATATCTCATTTTAATCCTTAGAAAAATCCTGAGTTAGGTAAGATTCTTAGGAAGTAAGTGAGATATTTGGGATTAAAATTAGGCAAAGCCTGGGCCAGACATGATGGCTGATGCCTGTAATCCCAACATTGGGAGGCCAAGGCGGGCAGACCACTTGAGGTTAGGAGTTCAAGATCAGCCTGCCTACTAAAAATACAAAAATTAGCTGGGTGTGGTGGCGGGCACCTATATCCCAGCTACTCAGGAGGCTGAAGCAAGAGAATCACTTGAACCCAGGAGGCAGAGGTTGCAGTGAGCCCACATCACACCACTGCACTCCAGCCTGGATAACAGAGACTCCATCTCAATAAAAAATAAAATTTAATAATAAGGCAAAGCCTGAACTCCCTTTACTACCATGACAGCCAAATGCTTTTAGGTACTGGGCCAGTGAAGAAATGGGGAAGGTGGATGTGGAAAATAGAAGTAGTTAGGTGACCGTGGTCAGCTGTCAGATGTATATTTTACCTCAAAGCAGCCTCCTCCCCACTCCAAAGTGTTGGCCAGACCATATACCCTAACTTTTTAAAAGACTGTTATTTGCAACAACTACTCTGCCTCTTGTTAGTCATTTCCAAGGCTAAAAATCTCTCCAGTTGCTTCAGCTGTTCTGCATATGATGGAAATTTCAGATTCATTGCCACTCTGGTGGGTCTCTTGGATGAGCTTCATGTGGTCGTATACCAGATGCACTTCTGTTCTGCTAGGTGCTAGAGGTACAACAGGAAAAAATAGGACTTGGTAGTTTGTGCTGCTAACTAGCAGCCACATAAGGATTGATTTTATTTATTTATTTATTTATTTATTTATTTATTTATTTATTTAGGGTTTCACCATGTTGGCCAAGCTGGTCTCGAACTCCTGACTTCAGGTGATCTACCCATCTTGGCCTCCCAAAGTGCTAGGATTACAGGCATGAGCCACCGTGTCTGGCCGAGGATTTACTTTTTTGATTTAATTGTTCCATTTTATTTTCTTACCACCTGTCTCCAACTTCTGCACATTTTGTTTCTAAAAAGTGAAATGTTCACATGATCTTGATTTTGGACTTCTCTTGAAAAATCAGGTAGTCCTTCATTACTGAGAGGCTCCAGCCAACTAGAGCAAGGTACTGAAAACTTTAGCTCAGCAGCATTCTCCAGCTCTCCAAAGTTTCTACCCCTTTGCTACTTTTAGATCCAACAGGCTGATTTTACTCACTAAGGGCAAAGACTGTGTCTTAAACTCTCCCGCAAAGCCTAACCTTCATGTCGGTTAGGCTGATCTTGAACCCCCAACCTCAGGTGATCCGCCCGCCTCAGCCTCTCAAAGTGCTGGGATTATAGACATGAGCCACTGTGGCCAGCCAAGACTCCATCTCAAAATAAATAAGTAGGCCAGGTGCAGTGACTCATGCCTGTAATCCCAGCAGTTTGGGAGGCTGAGGCAGGCAGATTGCTTGAGCCCAGGAGTTCAAGACCAGTCTGGGCAACATGCCAAAACCCCATCTCTACAAACAATACAAAAAAATTAGCCAGGTATGGTGGCATGCACCTGTAGTCCCAGCTACTCAGAAGGCTGAGATGGGAGGATAGTTTGAGCCCAGGAAGTGGAGGTTGCAGTGAGTCACGATTGTGCCACCACTCTCCAGCCTGGGTGACATAGTGAGACCCTCTCTCTACAAAAGAGTAAAATATAAAATAAAATGGATTTTTTTGATTCATTTTTTTCTTTGAATAGTTCTTTGTTAATATATAGAAACATTACTAATTTTTATGTTGCTTTTGTTTCCTACAACTTTAGTTTTGACAGGTTTTTGGTGGTATCTTTAGGGTTTTCTATTTATAAGATCATGCCATCTGTCAATAGAGACAGTTTTACTTCTTCACTTCTAATTTGGAGGCCTGTCATTTCCTTTTCTCACCTAATTCTCTGGCTAGGGTTTCCATTACTATGTTGAATGTAAGTGGTGAGAGTGGGGACCTTGTCTTGTTCCTGAT